GTCTGTTTCTAACCACACAGTTTTGGTTACTGTAGCCTTATAGTGTGTCTAGAATTGGTGCGTTCTTGGTCTTGCTGACTTCAAGAACAAAGCCGCAGACCCTCGCAGTCAGTGTTACAGTTCTTAAAGATGGTGGGTCTGAAATTTGTTCCTTCAGATGTTCAGATGTGTCCAGAGGTTCTTCCTTCTGGTGGGTTTGTGGTCTTGCTGGCTTCAGGAGTGAAGTTGAAAACCTTAGCGATCAGTGTTCATAAAGACAGCCTGGACCCAAAAAGTGAGCAGCAGCAAAACTTATTGCAAACAGCTAAAGAACAACCCTTCCACAGAGTGGAAACAGACCCAAGCCCATTGCCTCTGCTGGCTCAGGCAACCTGCTTTTATTCCCTTATCTGACCCCACCGACATCCTGCTGATTGGTCCATTTTACAGAGAGCTGATTGGCCCATTTTACAGAGAGTTGGTTGGTCCATTTTGACAGGGTGCTGATTGGTGCGTTTACAAACCTTGAGCTAGACACAGCGTGCTGATTGGTGCATTTACAATCCTTTAGCTAGACACAAAAGTTCTCCAAGTCCCCACTAGATTAGCTAGACACAGAGCACTGATTGGTGCTTTCACAAAGCTTGAGCTAGACACAGAGTGCTGATTTGTGTGTTCACAATCCTTTAGATAGACACAGAGTGCTGACTGGTGCATTTACAGTCCTCTAGCTAGACATAAAAATTTTCCAAGTCCCCACCAGATTAGCTAGATACAGAGTGCAGATTGGTGCATCCACAAACCCTGAGCTAGACACAGAGTGCTGATTGGTGCATATACAATTCTCCAGCTAGACATAAAAGTTCTCAGGGTCCCCACCGGACTCAGGAGCCCCACTAGCTTCCCCTGGTGGATCATGCGCTGGGGCCATGGGTGGAGCTGCCCCTCAGTTCCATGTCATGTGCCTGCACTCCTCAGCCCTTGGGTGGTTGATGGGAATGGGCACCGCGAAGCAGAGGATGGCGCCAGTCAGGGAGGCTCCGGCCGCACTGGAGCCCACCGGTGGGTGCTGGGGACTCAGCATGGCGGGCTGCAGGTCCTGAGCCGTGCCCCACAGGAGGTGGCTAAGGTCCAGGGAGAATTGGAGTGAGGCACCAGCGGGCCAGCAGTGCTGGGGGACCCGGCGCACCCTCTGCAGCTACTGGCCCAGGTGCTAAGCCCCTCACTGTCTGGAACCAGTGGTGCCAGCCGCGGCTCTGAGTGTGGGGCCCTCCAAGCCAGTGCCCACCCAGAACTCGTGCTTGCCCACAAGCACCGCATGCAGCCTTGGTTCCCACCCACGCATCACCCTCCACACCTCTCCTCAAGTAGAGGGAGCTGGCTTCAGCCTCCGCCAGCCCAGAGAGGGTCTCCCACAGTGTAGCAGTGGGATGAAGGGCTCCTCAAGCACGGCCAGAATGAACACCAAGGATGAGGAGGTGCTGAGAGCAATCGAAGGCTGCTAGCACATCGTCACCTATCAATAATATAGTTTGAAGTCTGATAACATGATGTCTCAAGGCTTGTTATTTCTGTTTAGGATTGCTTTAGCTATTCAGATCTTTTTTTGGTGCCACATGAATTTTAGAATAGTTTTTTTCTAATTCTGTGAAAAATTGCATTAGTGGTTTGATAGGAATAGTGTTGAATATGTAGGTTGCTTTGGGCATTATGACCATTTTAACAATACGGATGAGTATGAAATGGTTTTTCCATGTATTTGTGTCATCTCTGATTTCTTTCAGCAGTGTTTTGTAGTTCTGCTTGTAAACATCTTTCACCTACTTGGTAAAGGTGTATTCGTAGGTAATTTTTGTGTGACTATTGTAAATGGCATTGCATTCTTGATTTGGCCTGCAGCTTGAACATTACTGATGCATAGATAAGGTGCTAATTTTTATAAATTGATTTTGTATCGTGAAACTTTATTGAAATCATTTGTATCAGTTTCAAGAGCCTTTTGGCAGAATCATTGGAGCTTTCCAGATGTAGAATCATATTGTCAGTGAAGAGAGATAACTTGACTTCTTCTTTTCCTATGTCGATGCTTTTTATTTCTTTCTCTTGCCTGATTGCTTTGGGTAGGACTTTAAATACTATGTTGAATAGGAGTGGCGAGAGTGGGCATACTTGTCTTGTTCCAGTTCTCAAGAAGAATGATTCCAGCTTTTGTCCATTCAATATGATGTTGGCTGTGAGTTTGTCATAGATGATTCATTATTCTGAGGTATGTTTCTTCAATGCCTAGTTTGCTGAAGGTTTTTATCATGAAGGGATATTGAATTTTATCAAAGGCTTTTTCTGCATCTATTCAGATGATCATATGACTTTTGTTTTTAATTCTCTTTATGTAGTGAATCACATTCATTGATTTGCATATGTTGAACCAACCCAGAATCCCAGTAATCAAGCATTCTTGATCTTAGTGAATTGACTTTTTGATGTGCTGTGGATTCAACTTGCAAGTGTTTTGTTGAGGATTTTTGCATTTATGTTTATCGGGATGTTGTCCTGTATTTTCATTTTTCATCATATCTTTGCCAGGTTTTGGTATGAAAGTGATGCTGGCTTCATAGAATGAGTTAGGGAGAAATGTCTCTTCCTTGATTTTTTTTTTTTTTTTTTTGAATAGTTTCAGTAGAATTGGTATCAGCTCTTCTTTGTATGTCTGGTAGAATTCAGCTGTGAATCCATCTGGTCAGGAGCTTTTTGGGTTGGTAGGTTTTTTGTTACTAATTTATATATTCAACTTTGAAACTTGATATTGGTCTGTTTAGGGTTCCAGTTTCTTCCTGTTTCAATCTTGGGAGGTTGTGTGTTTCCAGTAGTTTATCCATTTTCCCTAGATTTTCTACTTCGTGTACATAGATGAGCTCTATAATAGTCTCTGAGAATTTTTTGTATTTCTGTAAGATTGGTCGTAATGTCATCTTTGTCATTCATTCCTGATTGCGCTTATTTGGATATTCTTTTTTCTTTGTCAATCTAGTCAGCAGTATATTGATCTTGTTTATCCTTTCAAAAAAAAACTACTTTTGGTTTTGTTGATTCTTTGTATGTATTTCGGGGTCTCAATTTCAGTTCTGCTCTGTGAGCTTTTAGTATTGTGCAGTGCTCTATGAAATAAAGAAAAATATACTCACTACATGCTGCTACATTACAGGGACATAAAAAAGCTTTCATGCACCCTCGTCACTCTATATATTTCTTATATTGGTTGACTCTTTTACTACCCTTGACCTTTTAATCACTTTCTTGTGATTACTTAGTTGGTTTATTTTTATAATCAAATCAACATCAGTATTCCTTTATATGTACATTTTCCATTCACTTTTACTGTGAACATTTTGTCTATTAGTGTTTGTAGAAACTGCTTCAAATCTTTTTTGAAATGAGAAAGCATACATCTGAATGTAAATAAATCAGTCACCATCTCAAGTCCCACTGATGTCTTTTTTCAAAATATTTAACCTTGGGTTAAATATTTTATCAAGTATTTAAATTCTTCTGCAGGTAGGCTGGGCACGGTGCTCATGCCTATAATCCCAGCACTTTGGGAGGCTGAGGTAGGTAGATCACTTGAGCTCAGGCAGTCAAGACCAGCCTATTATCTTGCAACCATCATTACAAAAACTTCACTCCTTGCCCTGGCCATTTCTTTAACCAAACTTCAGCTTCTTTGTGCCCATAGGTGCTGGCAAGCAGAGACGGTATATCTCTGAATATGCATATTGTCAGTGTCTCTCTGTGAATGCCATTATTCAAGGGCTCACAATTAATATTGTTCTTTGTTGCAGATAGTGACTTCCAAAATGAAGTTTTTGGAATGCTAGTGCTAGAAGGCTTTCTTAAAAACAAAGATTTCATAGCAAAGTAAACTTTTGATATTTTCCTAAGAAGAAAATGTAACCTTTCTGGGCAATTTTTGATGAATATTAAGAGATTTTCATGATCCTTCATTAAAAAAAAATACCTACTTTGTAATCCACTTTTTTGTTGTTACTGACCTGGAGTGCACACGATAATTTTCCCCTGACCTCGTATATGCCACGAAGTTTCTCATTTACACTCTGGGAGTCACAACCTTCTTGATTTATCAAATCCTTATCTAAACACACAAAGACATCCACCCTTCCAAAAAATCACTTTTATGTATAACAATGCTGTTAGTAAAGCTGTGTTTGTCTATCTGTGTCTTGTGTATGCCTTTGTGTATGTCTCTGTGTGTGATATGTGTCTGTGTGTTTTGTTCTGTTTTAATTTGTGATTCATCAAGAGAAACAAATTATTCAGTACACGGAAGAAAATAACTCATTTACTCTTTTACAAGAGTCAAATTTGAAGGATTTTTGAAGGTTCCTAAAATAATAAATCTATTATTTATGGACAAGCATTTTATATCATTAAAAAGAACAGATTTTGTTAGTCTTATAATTCTTTAAAAATGCAGACTTTCTAATGTGAGTATCTGAATTGAATTTAGGTATGAGATTATGAAATTATTAATTATTAATACTCTTTTGGTGAAAAGCAATATTAAAATGTATTTAGAGTCTTTACCCTCTATGTGACAAGCAACTTTTATTAACTTTTCATTTAATTAAAATTTCTAATTACATTTTTGTCTATGATAAAAAGTACAAAATTTAAAATTCAACAGTTACCACTATTAAACTTGAAGTATTTTCACACTACAGTTTCTGCTGCTTATTCACCAACCATCAATGCTATTATGGATTATCACTTCAATTAAAAGATTGTTTATGATCCCCATAGGTATAGATAGAAATGAAACCTGAGCAATGGGAATTCCGATGCTGATGTAGAACATTCCACATTGCACCTGGGAAATCAAATTTTAGCTCAGGTTGTATTTATTATGATACTTTAGGACTTGTGTTTTATGGATTCAAGATGAGAAAATCATTAAAAATCAGCTTGTCACATTAAGAAATCATTTAAAATTACTCCCTCAGGGATTTTTATTAGCAATATATTGTAAGAACTTTTCCTTCCCTGCCCATCTTATATTTACATAAAACATGATTTCTGTAGTTAACTAAAGAATTCAGTGTTCAGGAAGATTATGATGTTGGGAAATCCTCCTGAGACAATTTTTTTCACCACAGAGATTTTCTCCCAAATAGGAAGTTGTTTTGCTTTTTTAATCTGCAAATATCCTCACTTTTTCTCAAACCCCTTTCCTTACTGTCAGTCTTCTGCAGGTTGTCAGCACATCTAAAAAGAGAAAACATAACCATTACATACCTAAAAAGACTCAATAAACCAAAGTAAAAAGTAAAACCTTGGATCTGAGGTCAAAGAACCAAACCCAGGTAAGACTGGAGTTTTCCAGTGAAATACCTAAGAAATCTAAAATTCAAAACCAAGGTCATGGTGTGGAAGGACATTAACATACATTTTATCTTTACATAACAAATCATCTCTAGGGAAATTTTCTTACTAGAAATCATAATTATCTCCATCAGTCGCTCCAGGGCAGTATCAGCAAGCCGATAACGCATCTGCGTCTCTGCCAATCACACCGCCGCAGAAAGTGGAGGGAGAAAATCTGCTGCTCAAGAGTTCTATCTCTGAGCCTGTGAAATAGCCATTATCTCCATGGCAATCTGTATTTAAGACAGCTATCCAATCCTCATCCTTTCTTTTTTCAGTTTACTTTTATGCTTTCATGTAGCTGCGTTCTGAAAAATATTTTCTTTAATTACTTTTCCTTTATTCCTCCAACTCAACATATATATGTGTGTGTGTGTGTGTGTGTGTGTGTGTGTATGCATTTCCACAAAGCTATCTTGTTTTTATATAATTAGAGGGAACCAGAAAGATAGGTTCCCTCTAATTATATAAAAACAAGATAGCTTTGTAGAAATGTATATATGTTAAACACATATGTGTATACTGCATGGAAAATATAACTGATGTTTGAGTAGGTATCTAAAACAAATTGACCAACAGAAAACAAAATTCTTTAGAAAACTAACAAGTAGTGGTTACAATAATATGTAGAGATGCAATATATATAACCTGTATGAAAAATGTAATTGACAATTGCATAGACTCATTATGTAAATGAAACATCAACCAATGAAAAACATAAAATTCTTCAGACATTTAACAAGTACTGATTGCAACAAAACACAGGGTTTTTTTAAAAAAAAAAAAAAACTTTTTTTAATATGTAGTAATTTTTGCTGTTATTGTTGTTGTTGTTGTTTTTTTTTTTTTTTTGGGGGGGGAATGGAGTCTCGCCCTGTCACCTAGGCTGGAGTGCAGTGGCACGATCTCGGCTCACTACAGCCTCCTCCATCTCCCTGGTTCTAGCAATTCTCCTGCCTCAGCCTCCCGAGTAGCTGGGACTACAGGCACATACCACCATGCCTGGCGAATTTTTTGTATTTTACCAGAGATGAGGTTTCATCCTGTTGCCCAGGCTGGTCTCAAACTCCTGAGCTCAGGCAGTCCACCCGCCTCAGCCTCCCAAAGTGCTAGGATTACAAGCGTGAGTCACTGCACCTGGCCAGTAATTTTTTGATGTTTGAAATTCTGCAAAAAGACCAAATTTTCATTCCAATAATATCAGTTGTTAATGTTTTTCTGACTAATAATATAATTGTTTAACTACTTTCTTTTCTTCACTCAATCTCATGGTTCTATTCAACCTACTAAAAACAAACAGTTCTTGTATTCAACCATTTCAATCATCAGAGTAAAATTTCAGGAAGATTATTCTTGTAAAACTCATGTGTGGACAATGATGTTTTTGTGAGGCAAAACTAGTGTGATCTGCTTTCAAGATTCCCTCCAGTGGGATCTGTTTTTGTTATTTTGCCATACAAGTAATGAATGTGTCTGAATATAGAAGGGATAGGAAAATTTAAGAAAGAGGTACATCTTTTATAAAATACTGAAAAGTTTCAAAAATATCACACTGAAAAAACCAAACATATCTGAAGCCATAATTCATAACGGACTTAACACTGAAAGTCTATATCAATGTTTTAAATATTTTCAGTACCCAGAAATATATGGTGAATACGTGGTAGTGAATAAGTCTCATGAAACCTGATGGTTTTATAAATGGGAGTTCCCCTGCACAAGCTCTCTTGCCTGCACAAGCTCTCTTGCCTGCCGCCATATAAGATGTGACTTTGTTCCTCATTTGCCCTCTGGCATGATTGTGAGGCCTCCCCAGCCATGGGGAACTGTGAGTTAATTAAACCACTTTTCTTCATAAATTACATAGTCTCGGGTATGTATTTATTAGCAGCATGAGAACAGACTAATACAGTAAATTGTTAATGATAGAGTGGGGTGCTTCTGCAAAGACAGCCAAAATTGTGGAAGGCATTTTGGAACTGGGTAACAGGCAGAGGTTGGAACAGTTTGGAGGCTCAGAAGAGGACAGGAACATGTGGGAAAGTTTGGAACGTCCTGAAGACTTTTTGAATGTCTTTGATGAAAATACTGGTAGTGATATGAACAAGAAATCCAGGTTGAGGCTGTCTAGGATGGAGATGAGGAACTTGCTGGGTACTGGAGTAAAGGTCACTCTTGCTATGCAAAAAGACTGGTGGCATTTTGCCCCTTCCCTAGAGGTCTGTGGAACTTTGAACTTGAGAGAGATGATTTAGGGTATCTGGCAGAACAAATTTCTAAGTGGCAAAACATTCAAGAGGAAGCAGAGAACAGAAGTCTGACTATGCAATAAAAAAAGAAAAATCCATTTTCTGAGGAGAAACTCAAGCCAGCTGCTGAAATTTGCATAGTAGTGAGGAGCCAAATGTTAATCACCAAGACAATGGGGAAAATGCCTCCAGAGCATGTTACAGACCTTTATGGCAGCCCCTTCCATCACATGCCTGAAGGTCTAGTAGGGAAAAATGGTTCCATGGGCTGAGCCCAGGGACCCCTGCTCCATGCAGCCTCAGAGCATGGTGCCCTGCATCCCAGCTGCTTCAGCTCCAGACATGGCTAAAAGGGGACAACATACAGCTCAGGCCATTGCTTCAGAGACTGTAAGCCCCAAGCCTTGGTGGCTTCCACGTGGTGTTCGGTATGCTGGTACACAGAAGTCAAGAATTGAGGTTTGGGAACCTCTGCCTAGATTTAATAGGATGCATGGAAATGTCTGGATGTCCACGCAGATGTTTGCTGCAAGGGCAGGACCCTCATGGAGAGCTTCTGCTAGGGCAGTGTGGAAGGGAAATGTGGGGTTGAAGCTCCCACACAGAGTCCCCATGGAAGAACTGCCTACTAGAACTCTGAAAAGAGGGCCACCATCCTCTAGACCCCAAAGTGATAGATCCACCAATAGCTTGCCAAGTGCACCTGGAAAAACCACAGACACTCAACACCAGCAGCTGAGAGGGGGGCTATACCCTGCAAAGCCACAGGACAGAGCTGCCCAAGACCATGGGAACTCACCTCTTGCATCAGTATAACCTGGATGTAAGACATGGAGTCAAAGACAATCATTTAGGAGCTTTAAGATTTGACTACCCTACTGGATTTTGGAGTTGCACAGAGCTGTTAGCCCTTTCATTTTGGCCAATTTCTCCCATTTGGAATGGGTGTATTATCCCAATGCCTGTACCCCCATTGTATCTAGGAAGTAACTAACTTGCTTTTGATTTTACAGGCTCATAGGCAGAAGGGACTTGCCTTGTCTCAGATGAGACTTTAAACTGTGGACCTTTGAGTTAATGCTGAAAGGAGTTAAGACTTTGGGGATCTATTGGGAAGGCATGATTGGTTTTGAAATGTGAGGACATGAGATCTGGGAGGGGCCAGGGGTGCAATGATACGGTTTGGCTATGTCCACACCGAAATCTCACCTTGAATTGTCATTATCCCCATGTGTCAAGGACAGGGCCAGGTAGAGATAATTGAATCATGAGGGCAGTTTCCCCCATACTGTTCTCATGGTAGGAAGTTTCATGAGATCTGATGGTTTTATAATTGGTAGTTCCCCTGCACAAGCTCTCTTGCCTGCTGCCACATAAGATGTGACTTTGCTCCTTATTCACCTTCTGGCATGATTGTGAGGCCTCTGCAGACATGTGGAACTGTGAGTCAATTAAACCTCATTTCTTTATAAATTACCCAGTCTTTGGGAACAGACGAATATGTAGTCCTAAACTTCATAACTTGTGTAACATAGCTTTCCCTAGTATGACTAACCACCACATTCCATATTCACCTCCATCTGTTTCCAGTATGTCCCATCCTTCTCAAAAAGAAGTGTCTATTCTCTGTATTGAGGACATCATTTATGAGGTATAAATTATTCATGTTATGCTTCTCATCTGGAGTGTTTTCTCTCCAGCCTATAGGAGTGTTCAAGGCCTAAAAGCAGAGGTGACAAACAGGCTGCCTGCAAGTGAAACATGGCTCAACGACATGTTTCTTTATGGTCCACATAGTAGCCAATAATTTTAAAACTGAAAATTTTTATATAAAAATCCAGATTTTCATCTTCACCTGAAAACCTGGAACATGTGGTTGCACTGTCCCTCATGGCAATAGTTGGCTGGAGCTAAGCAGCTCTGGGACCTTCCTGGTGGGGCAGTGTATGTACTCCTTGGTCTAGCCCAGTTTTCATTTCTTCTTATTTCTTAGCCTGGCACTTTGACTTTTGATCTCTGACATGAAAGAATGAAATTATAGTAGCAAAGAGTGGAAAATCTTTGAACACTCATTCATAAGGGAAAGTTTCCACATTGTCTGTTATGACAGTACCTAATCTAAATAAAGCCAACCACAAATTTATCTATGTTTAATAAACTTTTTAACTACAGCTTAATCAACATTTATTGAATCCTGTTTTGCACCAAGAATTAGATGAGGAAATGTGGACAAAGAGAAGAGTAAGGTATATTTCTGCCTTCCCATAATTAATCATGTAGTCAATAAAACAGAAATCTAAACAAGGTATTCTAATACAATGCAATAACAGATATATATACAAAAGGCACTAAAAGAAAATCTCAGAGCATCAGCTGTATTATATTCAAAGAACCAACTTACCCATAGATGTTATTAATGAATAGATGACAGATTTGATGGCTTACATCAGTTTAGTTTTTACAAGAGGAATATAAACACCTATGTCGTAATTGAGGACTGCAAACTACTCTAAAGTCACAATTGTAATTTTGCATGGCTTGTAAAATGTCCTCTTCAGTAATCATGAAGCACTAAGAAATCAGTATCACAGTTCAGAATATAACTAAACTTTTTATTCCTAACCTATTGTTTACCTGCCTATCTTAAAGAAATATCTTGGATGTTTAAGTTAAGTATCTACTTGATGCACGTTATATAAATCTGTTGCTACAGGCATCAATGTTTTGGATATTTTTCAAATATAGTGCAACCTGTTTATTTCAAATTTAATTCAAATAAGATGTATTTTGAACTGTCTCAGGCTAAATTTCTGGAACTTGAAGGTAACTTGAAGGAATTCGAAGGTAGGAATTATTACAATTCAAAGTCATATCAATCTAAAGACAAGTCTCAGCTTTAGTTTTGGGTTTTTTATCAAGGCAAGATCAATCTCCTCCTGAATTTGACCCATTAATCTGCTTTTCCTCCTTAACCACACCCTTTCAAATTCTGAATATTTGAAAAGAGCTATCATACCTTCCTCACAAATATACTTATTTGATAATTTCCTATTTAGATTATTCATATGGCTGAATTATTTTTCAGTGACCTTTCTTCTCAAATGTTCCCCTATTTTTAAACATTCCTTGTAAAACATAGCACTTAGAAACAAATGAAGTATTGTAGATTGTGGATGATCAGGTCCAAGTTTGCCAGAATTATTTTTCTTGATGTTGACAATATTATTTTTGATCAAGCTTTATATCCAATAACTATTTTTGGTAGCATATCATACTTCAGATGCACATTGAACTTAAATTATCCATTTGTTTCTTCTTAGTGCCATATTTGGCTTCATCCACTAAACCATATGATTAGATAATTATTTGGTACATATGATAAACCTATAGTTCTAATGACAACATTTCTATAAAAGCTATGGATTTCAGATTCCTTGAAATAAATTTTCAGTCCACCTTTCAAGCAGTGTCTTCATTGAGTATAACACTGACTCAGTACAGGATACTTTTCATGGTACAGAGTCCCTAAGGACCAAGGAGTCCTGGAATCATATGTAATCTCATCACCCAATCATTTGCTCTACCGTAGAACTTTATGATATTATTTTAACCAAAAATCTGATTCACTATTATAGAAATTACCGTATTGTTGGAAGTGACTAAGATAATGGTCACTAGTCTGGTGTCAGAGAGGAAAATCCAAATAATGACATGTCATTGTTTATCTTATTGATAACTGCATACCATTTTATACTGTAAAGAACTGAAAATAAACATTTCTTAAAGCTTGGAGTAGACGGAATACTGGTGTCCCAAAGATGTCCGTGTCCTAATTCCTGGACCTTCGAATGTTTCCTTACATGGCAAAAGGGGCTTTACAGGTGTGATTTAGTTAAGGATCTTCAGATGAGAGGATTCCTCTACACTACTTGGGCAGGCCCAATGCACTCACGAGAGTCCTTACAAGCAGAGGAAGGAGGGTCAGGACAGAGAGAGCCATGGATAATGGAAACAGAGGTCGGAGTGAAATGGGGCCACAAGACAAGACATACAGGCAGTCTCCAGAGCTGGAAAAAAGTAAGAAAACGGATTCTTACCCACAGCCTTCAAAAGGAGTGCAGCCCTGCTTGCCCATTTTGGATTTCTGACCTCCAGAATAAATGTGTGTTGCTTTAAGTCACTAAGTGTGGTAATTTGTAACAGAAGCAATAAGAAACTAATATGCTTCTTAATCAAAGACTCCAGGTAAAAAACGCGCTCATCTAATTAGACTTTGCTGGGGGTGGAATAAAACACAGCTTCTATTTATCCTGACAGATATTAAAGAACATAAGGGATTTTTCTTCTTCCTAATAGTGGCTTTAATAGTTTGATTTTTTTCAACTCTGCTACACTTTACATATATGGGAAGAAATTTGTACAATGAGTCTAATTTTCTATGATTTCTCAAGGGTACTTGAACAGTAAAACATATTACCAAACAATCATTAGTTTCTAATACCAAAAACTGGGTAAACAGCCAAACTAAAATGGTATTAAAAAGACTCATCATTCTTTATATTAATTGCTAACTCATTAATCAATTACTAATTTAGAAATATATAGATTATTAGGTATTACTAAGTGATAACTTGTGGACTTAAACATAAATTTGGGTAAGGATAAAAAATTAAACTTCGTTTAGAATAATAAAATAATACCAAATCAGAATCAGAATCACACAATTCCAATGTTTAGAAACTGTAAAATTTATACTAAAATTTATTTAAGGCATTATCTGTCAAGCTAACACAGTTCTAAATGATTGTACAATGCTTTAGACAGGAATAGAAAATCAATAAGCTGGAGGTTTCAGCCATTCCTGTCATGGAACATTTTAAGATTTATGAAATAAAATTGATTTGTGAAATCAGATGGAATTGCTGTATTTACCTTTCATTAACATGAATATAACTGTGCCACTAGTCAAAAATATTAATCACGTTGATTATCCTTAAGCAATTTCAAGTTTATTATTGAAAGCGTAAGTATTCATTTTCCCAAGTATTCAATAAGACTGCCTGTCAAATTACAAACAACACAATAAATTCTACAAAGTGTGGCGAAACAATAAAATCATTTAATATAATTGAATATTCCCATGAATTATATAAACATTAACCTCAATGATAAATCAAGAAGCAAATAACTTACTGGGTAGTTACTGTTCTTAAGTTCTAATCTGGCTCTGTCACTAACAACACTTCTGAAATCCACTGGAAATAATCTACTTGTAAGCTTGACTCTATTTTCATTAATCACCACAAGGACTCTCAAGTCACCTGAATTTCCCATGCTTTAATCTCCTGTTGGACCCTATGCATACTTGATTTTTGTCCTCTTTTATTACCCATCCCTGATTCCTAAACCTTTTCTATCATGTCCCTCAGGAACCATAATCAGAAGAATGCCTTCTATCCTAAAATTAGACTATGAATATTCTCTTCACTTTCTTGCTTTAATATAACTGGCTTTCCTTCATTTTCCAAGCTGTGGCTCTTGTCTCCCATAATCATTGTTGCAATAGCTTCACTATTCACAGAAGTGACTGAAAACCACACACACATGCACACAAATCACATCACAAAAAGTAAACTCAGTGTATCCTTGACATGACTTTGTAAGATCTCAAAAATGCCTATGGCCTCTCTCCATTGCCATCCAACAAGTAGACAACTATTGCATACAAGAAGCTAGATTGGCAGAGAGTGATCTTAAGTGGTTGTGGTCGAAATAGTTTACTTCTATAAATATGGCAAAAGCACGTATCCCTGTGAACATATTACTAAAGCCCCTCCCAAGAAATAAGCTCCTGTAAGGAAGTGGGGTGGGGGAGGGGAGCTAGAATTCAAGCCTCATTAGTTTTATGGACACCCTGCGACTGCATGCATCCCACTCTCTTACCACCACCTCCTGCGTTTTCTCTCCACTCTCTCTGATATCTCAATGGCACATTTTAGTTTTTAGCTTCTCATTTTAAAACAATTTCAGACTCATAAAAAGTTGCAGAAATAGTAAAAACAGTTCCCATGTCTTCTTCACTCAGCTTCCTTAAATGTTAACATCCTATAAAGCCAGTATAATTATCAAAGTATAGTTATGAAAGCTAGGAGATTAAGATTGATGCAATACCATTGACAACCATAAACCTTATTCAAATTTCATGAGTTGTCTCACTAATATTTTCATTTTTTAGTATGGAATTTAATCTAGGATTCTACAATTAATTTGTCATCTTGTCTCTAATTTGGCACAGTTCTTCATTTTTTCTTTGACTTTTATGAACTTAGCACTTTTGAAGAGTACTGACCATTTATTTTGTCAAATGTCCTTCAGTTGGGTTTGTCATTATTTCCTCGTGATTAAATCAAGCTGTGCATTTTTCAAAATAATACCACAGAAGTGGCGCACCCTTCTCAGTGCATCATATTAGGTGCTACATGATGTTGGTTTGTCCCATTATTGCTCGTATTAACTTTGATCATTTGGTCAAGGTGTTACATGCAGATTTCTCCACTGCAAAGTTAGTTTTCTCTGTGTAACTAATATGTATCTGGTAGGGCAGGAGACTATAAATATTCCATTTCTCATCATATTTTGTCAACTAAGTTTAGCATTCATCAATGATTCTTGCCTGTAACAATTATGATGTAACATTTGCTAAATGGTGATCCAAAACTCTCAGCCCTACGGGGACTCCATTCCATTGATCTTTCCGATGTTACTCTATCGTGGGCATTTTGGTTTTCTCACTTCCCTCTATGCATAGCTTAAGTTCAGTTCTCCATCATTATAATTACCCCCTTGCCTATATCCTCAACTCATTTTCTCTTCACTTGTATCACTGTATTTCCTGTTAAAACCACAGCTCTTCACCTACTCTTTGCCTACTCTTTTCCTACAACTATGGACTTGAGATTTGCTGATAAGAAAACACATAAGCAAATTAACTGGTTTCTTTTAAAATAATGTTCATT